GGCTCGGTTTGAAAAAAAAAAAAAACGGCTTAGTCGAGCCAAGCCTAGCCGGCTCCTTATGAATAGTGCCACCACCCTTGGCTCTTTTAATATAGGTAGAGATAAATGTATCACTATTTTAACTTTTATATTTAGAGGGTTCTAATTTAAGTGTTATTTGGAGGTTTTATACCAACATATTTTTTACTACTTTCAAGGATGTTATTTTTATATTGTTAAAATTGTGCTTTAAAATCAAATCGAACTGTGAAAAATAGTTTGGTTTGAAAATTTTCAAAGCATTTGAAAGATTTGGTTTGAAAATAGTTTAAAAATCGCACAAATCAAATCGTGTTTATCTGTAATTTGTTATATATTCAGCAATATGGCGTGAATTGTTTTGTGAAAAAATACAGTAATTTGAAATGTTATCATTTCATCGGAATTCTCACGCCGTACACTTCTTTCATATGTTGAAATCGCTATTAAATGTCTTGCATTTCTCACTAGTAAGCTGCTAAGTATAATAAGTTGTTACATCTATTATATAACGTGACCTGAAAAGAATATTTTGTCATATTTAAACTGCAACATGACTTGATTTTCGAGATTTGACACATTAATATATGTTATTTCGACCGTATATAGGTAAAACACAACATGATTCCTCTCGAAAATCTATTTCATTTTGAGCCAGGAGGTACAAATTCTTACAATATGAATTGTTTTGATTATTGATATTTTCCAAGCTACGTAAATATGAAATGTAACGGTATCATCTAGAGTTTAAAATCAAATTTTTAGCTGATTTTGATAAAATTAATGGAATGTGTGGTTAAAATTAATTGTTGATTTTGAGTTATATTTTAATGTAATTTTTTAGCGGTATCAAATATGGGCATCATGTAATAATTCATATAGTTAGAATGAGCTGTTTGTGAAAAAATACAGTTATATGAGATGTTATCATTACTTCCGAATTCACAAGTTGTACACTTGTTACATGTCTTGAAATCGCTATTACATGTCATGCATTACTCACTAGTAAGGTGCTAAGTATAATTAATTGTTACATCTATTATGTGACTTGATCTAAAAAGCGTATTTTGTTATATTTAAACTACAA